ATCTAGCAACATTACCGTATTTAAACATTCACACAGATCTAGCAACATTACCATATTTAAACATTCACACAGATCTAGCAACATTACCATATTTAAACATTCACACAGATCTAGCAACACTACCATGTTTAAACATTCACACAGATCTAGCAACACTACCATGTTTAAACATTCACACAGATCTAGCAACATTATCATATTGTTGATGGTGAATTTTTTCATCTTTACTTCAGAGGGGAAAAGAGGGTTGTTTCAAAACGACATCAAAACACTTTATGAAATGCTAATTATTCAATTTCAAACTAATCACGTAACTGTTTAAGCTGATTTTATCATCATTACCTTCTGAAGAGCGAGCTGAAGATCCTCAATTTCCTTCTTCAGTGCGCTGATGTCTCCCTCCAGCTTCTTCTTGTTCTGGTTCAGCTGGGATGCAGACATTTCATATTGGGAGAGTCTTTCGTTCAGTTCCTGCACGTGAACAAAGTTTGATTCATCTTTATTTATGTGAGTTACTCCAGACATTTTTAACTGAAGTTCAATTTTTCTTGGATTAAACGTTCGTTGGAGTCGTTATCGGATCTCACAAGATTCAATTTTTAAAATATATATATATATATTCCAGCTAAAGACAGAAAAAAAAGCGAAGATTTACAAATCGAACACGTTTTCCGTCAGCGGCAATACGATTATACAAATTGACGGCTCGTAAATACAGATATAATTTCTATTTTAGCATTTAACGCTGAACAAAGTTCACCCTCAACAGCTATAACGTAAGCACACCTGAGAGTGAGTGAAATGTCAAGAAAATATTTCCTTCTGATTGTTGGCAGGTCCAAAAATGTACACATCGCTATAACTATCTAGCTGGCTTCTGGCATTTCTGGGAAAAATATTCAAAAAACAGTCGGCGATTTGCTGAGTAGAGGTTGGTGGGCGGGGTTTGCTAAGATTCATCGAACAGCAACAGTTTAACAAATATGATAAATTACGCTTCATTCCTTTTTAATGTATTTATTTTCCTAAATTGGAGCACTATTTTTAGATTTCCCGCTCCCTATATAAGCAGGCATTAAAAACTAAAGTCGTTATATAGTATACAAGAAAGAAACAGATTATTTCGGTAACATGAATAAACCATTGATCCGCCACGTGGGGAAT